TTTTTTTTCACCTAGTGGATGTTCCTTCAACTTGTGCCTTCGTGGAATGGGTCTTTAAAACAGCTTTTGACAGAAACTGATGTCTGGTTTTCTAAGCGGAAAAAAGGTAAGCCAAACTTTTTAATTTATCTTTGTTTAAAATGAAATTTATTAAAATCAGATCCTCGCTTGTTTGTAGATCTGATGTTATAGCTGGAGAGAACCTTAGCAATTATCTACTTTGGCCCTCAGATACAGTGAGAAAATTGAGGTTAGATAAGAAAAATGCTTTGCCTATCACTACCAAAATTGTTACTCCTTGAACTGTCACCATACTCTGATCCTCCAAAAACTATTGCTTTTCTCATTTTATCACTAATAGATTTTGGTGATTGCATTTGTTTTTGACCACACTGTATTTTCCCTAACAAACTATACACTCTCAGACAGCAGTTCTTAACATGGGGGCCATGGATAGGCTTTCACATGCCACTAACCCCCAAAAGTGGATGCAGAACTTAATATGTATGTGTTTGCTGCATGCATTTGTGGTAGAGGCTGCCATACCTTTCTTCAGATTCTCCTTGGAGATGGATGTAAAATTGCTTATGATCAGCTGCTATAAGGTCTGATGTGGGCGGAGGGGAGCATATAATGTATTTAGTTTTTACTTTGATAAAACAGATAAAGAAAAAATTTAATAGATGGAAAGAAGTGGGTAAATTATACTTTAGGTCATGATTATCTTAGTTTACTGTCATTTTTGGTCTGTGTATAGTCACCTTTTTTGCTTATTTTTAATAATATATGGAGCCTCTGTGAACTAATCTTCAAGTACTAGAACATTAATAACTTTAGTCTGTTCATTGTGCTGCTTTTCTTGTGTGTCCGTCTGATTTAACCCAATCACTCTCTTGAATTCTGTTTTTTTATTATTTTTCCCTAAAAAAATTACGTTATTGAATCTGGGTATAGCAGCTCGCACCTGTAATCTTAGCACTTAGGGCTGACACAAGAGGATTGCTTGAACCCTGGAGTTCAAGTTCAACCTGAGCAATAGCAAGACTACCACCTTTTCAAAAAAATTGAAAAATCAGCCAGCATAGCCTGTAGTCCTAGCTATTCAAGAGGCTAAGGTGGGAGGATTACTTGAGCCCAGAAATTTGAGGTTGCAGTAACCTGTGATCAGTCTGCCCTTAAGCCTGGCAACAAAGGGAGACCCCATCCCAAATAATAGTAATAAAAATAATGGTATCACATTATGCATGTATGTCTTAATATATATAACAGTGTTATACTAATAAACTGGGAAAAAAAATCTCTGATTTGTAGCATTTTTTTATTTTCCTTGATACAAAATATGGCTGATTTTGAGCTATAAACATGATATCACCAAATGTAGAGTTGGAAGGAAATGGACACAGCTTCTCTGAGCCAGCAGGGCCAGCTACAGCATACCACTGTTGCTATGAAATTACTTCACATTGTGGTTTTAATTTTCATTTCCTTTATTACTAAAGAGATTGAGTAATTATAAGTTTATAGGCCAAATATTTCCTCTTCTGTGAAATGTCTGTCGTTTTTCCTGTTTCAATATCAGATTTGCCTTTTCTTAATGATTTGTAAACATTCTTTATATATTGAGCACCAGGACTTTGTCTTTAATATGTTTTGCATTTACCTTCCAATTTGTAGGTTATTGTTTACTTTATTGTTTTACTTAAATGTCTTTTGATGAATATACATTCTTAATTTAAAATGTGCTATTTTTGTCTTGTTTAAATAAATTTTGTATAATTGTTTTATTTAATCAGATTTCCTAGCTCAGACAGAGCCAGATAAATTATTTTTCTATCAAGCTCCTAAAGTAAAAATGTGTAAAGGACCATATGAATAAAATCTAACTTGATTTACTTGAACAAAATATTAACTTGTACCTTAAATTATAGATTAGTGTTACAGTAATGTGGCAATTAAAGAAGGATTAGGAACTTATAGAGGAGAAAAGTAGAGGAGATAATTTACATGAAAAACAGGGAGAAAAAGAACTGAAAGAGTAAAGGACGATGGAGAAGTTAAAAAGGCAAAGGGACTCACTAGAAGCAATAAATGTTAGGTAAATGTTGACATAACCTTATGCTCATCTCTGTTCCACATCAACCACAGCAATCTATCAAAAGAGAAATTAGACTAAGTGCCACAAACCAGAATAGGAAACTGTGGTCCACTTATGGTTTTCTTGCTCTAGGCTCTCTCAGCCCTTGTATGCAGTTTAAGATAACGTATAACTTTTCAGGGAGACATTCATTGCACAAAGCAAAATATACTGTTGCCTTGTTTTTCTTTGAGGTCGTTTCTAATTATTTGACTTTTCAGACACATATGGATCAGGACTGTAAGAAACTATAGAAATTTAGAAAGTTCTCTACACAATTATATCTAAGGATTGCTACTGAATTTGGCTGATGCAATTGGTATGGTCACATGTTGGCCAGCAAGAAACTTTTTTTTTTTTTGATATGTTGCCCTCAGTAGAGTGCTGTGGCATCACAGCTCACAGCAACCTCAAACTCTTGGACTTAAACAATTCTCTTTCCTCACCCTCCAAAGTAGCTGGGACTACAGGTGCCTGCCACAATGCCCAGCCATGTTTTTTGGTTGTAGTTGTCATTGTTGTTTGGTGGCCCGTGCTGGGTTCAAACTAGCCAGTCTTGGTTCATGTGGCTGGCACCCTAACTATTGTGAAATTGGCCAGCCAGCTCTAGTGCATGGAGCCCTAGCTGAGCTACAGGCACCTACCCAGCAAGAAACTTTTTGAAACATTTTTTCAATTCTCTGAATTCTTAACAGAAATAAATGAGTCAATCTCTTCTATAGCCTTGAGGAGAAGACTTAGTGGGATAAATACGAGCTTTTTATAACTGGCTTATGTGACAGTACACTTGTAAGAATATAATGGTATTCTTAGTATACCCCGTGAAATTGGCCCATTTGATTCAACATATGAATTTGAACTAATGTCATTTTAATACACAAGGCAATAGATGTAAATCCACAGTTGCATGCCTGTTGTATGAATAAGCAAAGTTAAATATTAATTTTTCAAATGAGTTTACAGCTTTCTTGTTTGTTTGACTCTAGGCAAGTGACAAAGAAATACATAAAAAATAAAAAAATGTTGGTTGGGCATGGCTCACACTTTGTAATCCTAGCACTTTGGAAGGCCAAGGTGGGAAAGTTCACTTCAGGCCAGGAGTTTGAGGTTCAAATGAGCTATGATTGTGCCACTGTACTCTAGCCCAGACAACAGAACGATACTTTGTCTCTAAAAAGAAAAAAAAAATCATAAATTGGCTATCTTTTCATGATTTTCAGGAAAAAATTATTTTGGTGGGGAACACTTTTCTGGTTCTCAGAAAACCTATGTTCCATGTGAAGCATAGGTAGAGACATAATACTCTATAATGACAGCTATAATTTTTTTCTTATTAATAGCAACAGGGCTAAGTATATTCCCACAGTTATGTACATAGTATACCTTGTTGAACAAAAAACATACACTAGGACTTATGCATAAATACCTGTTCAATAGCAATAACTGTAGACCCTTCCTTTGCACTTACGAAAGCATGTTGGAATATGAACTGAAAATAATTTTTAGGAATAACTTTACTTCTCCATAAAAGAAAAAAAATCATATACTTCATAAACTTGAATTATTTTAATAATAAATTAATACTATTCATGTGCTATAAATTTGGCTACAATGTCTTTCGTATTTTGTA